TACCAAGGGAAGGGGACGGGTCAACGCACATTCATCAATCTCTCTTCACTCCGAACGGATTCGCTTCGCAAGAGGACTCCATAAACAGAAGCAGGGCAACTGGATCACTTTATTCTGCCCAGGCACCGACTTGAAGGATGGGCAGAATCCTTCTGCAAGAAACTGCCGTCCTATAGCCCTGGCCCCTGAAAACAACGTGAAGCCTGTTAAGAGACGAGCCCCTGGACAACGTGGGAATGACGAAAAGCTAGGAAAACTGGGGAGGAAAGAACGTGTGTTCTTGGTTAAACACATGCGAGGATGGTGAACACTATGCGAGGGTCTGATGGAACTCTCCGTTCGGCCGCCATTGCTTCATTCCTAAAACGGCGGCCAAGAAGAGGGCCGCATATATGTCAAACGAGATATGCAACCAAAAAGGGAACTCGATCATCCACAGGAGAGGCGAGCGAGTGGGTGGACTGACAGGAAAGGATATCTAATAGACCTGCAAGGTTCACAAAAGAGGTAAATTCTTCGATGCCACGAGGGATGTCAGGCAGGCCCCTGGTCTGTCTCCTGTCTATGTATGCACGTTGCTGTATTATTTCGTACTTCAGTTGCTGCCATTGCTCGCCGCAATGTTGATCGCCTCGTTTCCCAAGCGAGAAAGGCATAGAAAGTCCACAATAAGTGAGTGTTTTTCCACGCTTTGTGGACCAAGGTTGCTAGCGGCCAAAGGATGACAGGCCTCTGCAGGTCGAACGACGTTCAGAATTTCGGCGTTGTTCTCCACTGAATTATGCGATGCCCTGGGGCAAAGTGACATGGCTGGATGGGGATCATCCCGGATTGCTTCGCCCGGTGCTGGGATCCGACTTAGAGGTGCCTCGAATAGGCATCGGCTAGCACCCTTCCCTTCGGCTCTTCAAGTCTCCAAGGGCCACTAAGACGTTTTTGCTGGCGCTGCCTATTGCCCAGAGTTGGAACCCCCTGGTCGGCCCGGGGCTCTCGTTGTCGGGAGATTTTATGACGGCTGGGCCTTTAATTATGTGGTTGTTCTTACACATTGAATTCCGCATCCGGCCTTTGGCCGGCTTTGCCTTGAAGCTTGGAGCTTTTGCGAGAGCCAGGAACATCAGACTTTCCAACAAGGGCTCGCTTCCCCCCCCCTAGTCGAAGCCTCGGCAGCCGCATGCGTCGCAGATGAAATGCATGGCGTGTGGGATTGGGGGCGGCAGAAGGGGATCGAAGGAATGCCTCGCGTCAAACGATCGGCCCCGGCCGCTTGAAGAATTCCCCTGAAGAATTCCCGAATTCATCGCATCAGAGCCAGACATGTTGTGCGTTTAAAGCCTGGCCAACCCGTCCCCGTCCACTTTGCTCACAGACATTTTCGGCCTCCCACCCGCCTTATGTCTATGAAATACCGAACGGGTAGAAGGAACACTAGAGGAAGGATGTACCCGTCCCTCCCGACAGTTCGTTTCTCTTAGACGGGCGGGAAAGGGAATTGACTTTTGACTTTCAACGGTCCTGTCTCTTCCAAAACGACGGCGCCTTTATCAACCCTGACGCCACGAACCCGAAAATGGTATGAGATGAACCTCTCACCACCATGACCGCGACGCCATTCACAGCCGGCCCCGCTGCCCATGAGTGAACCCCCTTTCTAGCGGTAAAATGACCGGGCGAGAATGGCACCTCAGGTAGAGTCGTTCTCGGGTTCTTCGGTCGTCCGTCGCTATAGCGCCAGCGAAGACGCTAGCTGGGGAGGACATGGCCACCGCCAGACTAAAGCAGGCTGTTCATTTCGCCCCTCAAAAAGCAGACCCCGAGTCATGTCCCGTCCCTGTTACCGATGTCTGTGCTTCGGCGATAGCACGAGTGACGGAAGGATATTCCTGGAAAACATCCAAGCCCAACGCGTGGTCGCTGATTACAATAAGCTCCTCTCTGGAGTCTGTTCCACTTGTCAAAAGAAGGATGTTGTCGGATACCGTTGAGTGTCCCCTCCAAGGCACCAGGGCTGGCGAATAATGAAGACTTGGTGACTTGTTCAAACTGGAGTCGTCCACAACCGTTTTTTCTGCCATCTCCACCTCACCGAAACAGGGACAGGCCTCACCGTGAGGCGACTCGTTTGGGAAAACCAGTCCGTGGTCTACTGCGACAGATGTTACGTTCAATTGGGCTCCCGAGGCTTCTCGGCGGAGTCGGCCGTTTGAGATACACCGCCGCCTCTGAAGTTTACCCAATGCAACCCGCAACTGGCGCCACGAGGGGTAGGATCTCCAGAACCCCTCAGGAGTTGCTTAGTACATGTAGAAATCTGCATCTCTTTCAAACCTACTACTAAACCTAACTTTTGTCCAAGCCACCTTTCTCTGACCTCTCGGAACCGAACCAAACTCAAAGCAGCTCGTTATACACTCGCAGACAGCAGAGCAACAGGGCCCAAACGAACTACACACACAAAAATCACATCATGGCAGCCACAACCACCATCCAAGTCCCCCACCTCGGCGGCATCACGGCCGGCTACCGTCTGTCCGAGGACAAGGTCGACCCCGCCAAGCCCACCGTCGTCCTCATCAACTCCATGTGCACAACCGTCTCCCTCTACAATGACCAGTTCAACAGCAAGACACTGACGGACGCTGTCAACCTGCTGGCCATCGAGCCGCTCGGCCACGGCTCCACCAGCTGTCCCGTAGAGCACTTCACCTACTGGGACACTGCCATCATGGCCCTGCAGGTCATGGACAAGCTCAACGTTCAAAAGGCTTTTGCTCTTGGCACGAGTCAAGGTGGATGGATGGTCACCCGTATGGCCATTTTGGCCCCTGAAAGGGTACGTTACGATGCCACGTGACATTCAATGGTCCCGTTACACTGTCAATTTGTTTCCATGGGATCGCGATCTCTTTTGAAAAAAAGAGGATCGTTGTTTTCTCATGGGATTGAGTTTTCTGGACTGTGCTGAACTCCATCGAATCTAGATTCTGGGTCTCCTGCCCTTGGGCACGTCAATGGATTACGAGTCAGCCGACTCCCGTGTCAAGGGCTGCTGGGACCCCAAGGCCCAGCTCCTGGCCTTTTACGACGGCTGGTCCAGTGCCACCCCGACGCCGGACTTCGTCGTTGACGATATCTGGTGCGGCATGGTTGGCAGCCTGGGCTTCTCAGGCACCGTCCCGCCCGAGACCCTTGAGTTCTGGACAAAGACCCTTAAGTCTGTCTACAAGGGTGACGAGGGCCGCAAGAAGCTCAAGATGGCCCTGGGTAACCTTCTGTCGAGAGACGGCCTGCTTTTGAGACTGAGAGACGTCAAGTGCCCCGTCTACTGGCTCCAGGTATGTGATACTACGGTCGAACGACCGGACTATTTTTGAGCGCCTCGCTGACCAAATCTCAGGGAACCGCCGACCCTGTTTTCGGTGTCAACATCCCCGGTGAGCAAATCAAGCTCTTCACTTCCGCCCCGGAGGCGACGGTGACGTTGGTTGAGGGTGGTGGCCACTACTTGAACGCCACCAGCCCGAAGGAGGTTGAGGAGGCTCTGCTGAAGATGGTGAAGACGTACGCCTAAGTCCGAGTCTTCATTGTACGTTTTTCGGGATGAACTATGGCGTTATGATCATGAGTCGTGAGCACGATAGGCGAGGAATGCATGCAATACCAAACGGCCCCCAAGTAGCATGCTGGGCAAGAAGCACGTAACATAAAGTATTCGTAGCAATGGTGGGAAATGAATGAAATTCCCAATGCTTGATCACATCTGGACGTGGTCCGGGTGTTCCCCGGTCAAAAGTCCGTCAGCTCGGGGTCCAGTCCGTATTCCATCTGCCATCCCAAGGAGGAAACACAATGACATGTCATCTTCCTCAAGCGCCCAGTCACCAGTCAGGGGGATGTCCACGTCGATCTAGCGATCCGAGCGTCAGCTATTGAAGAGCCACCTCAATTGCGACGTTGATAGACCCTCATCAAGTGCGACCAGACCAATTGCCTCAACAGCGCATTGATGGGTGTCCTAGCCTCTAGCTTTTCAGTCATATTCGGCCATGGTCCGGGCGTGACACACAGACTGCCGTGAGGCTGAAAAGTTGTCGCCTCACTACCGAGCTGGGTTGAGATTCCTATATGGCCGGGAACCAGGTCCGGGCTGCCATTCTCATGAGAAAATAACCATAAAGCCGGGGCTTTGCTCGAATGTGGAAACACTGGCAACGACGGGAAGCCGAGCGGACGAGCGATTCGCAGCGAAATAGGCGACCCTACGCGCGTCCTGGAGAGTGGGTTGGCTGATTGTCAGCCGATGAGTCGCACGAGCCATAGTCGACCCGTCGCCGCGAGTCATTGAGCGGCAATTTGGACTCGGGTTGTGAGTTATCACAAACCATCGCCAAAATACTCGCAACTGTTGCAGCTGATCTATCAGCATGCTGTTGGACAGTGTGTGAGAGTATTGGAAGTGTATGATAAACTCACCTGCCACTCACAACATCAAGTCCTGGCAGCCTACCTCTCTGGGTGTGACTATAAACGCAATGACAGTAGCTGCTACCACCGATGCTCTCAATGGCTACAGCCTAAGCTCTCCTCAGTATAGCTACTCTGAATTGAACGTCGTGTACGTTAGGCAGCAATGACAAGAAGAGAGGTTCCCCGTGTCTTAGTGGTGGATTGCATGATCGCGACTAGGATGTGTGTTCTGTGATACTCGACGAGCGACCTCGTTCCTCTTGGAGTTGAGATTTGTCTAGCTAAAGATAGACGTCTTTCTCGAGGACTAATGTGCCTTTCAATACCTGGAGCAAAACATTTACGGTACTTGTTTTCAACCCTCAAGGACTTATTCCTAAAGTAAGAGTACATCTTGCTTCTTTCCAGTCGCAAAGATGCGTCCATGGCCGCCCTCAGAAAATATTAGAAATATTCCGACTCGATAATAGCCTTCGAGGCGATCCGCCGGATGAACAATGAGCCCCCAAACAGTCTTCGGAGCATCGCTATCTTTACAGGAGGAACATTGCTCTGTCCTTCTCCAGTCTTCACAATTGAAGACCGTTTCACCCTCTGGGAAAGGGAAAGACCTCCCTGGCCCGTCTCGCAAACTGGACAGGTATCGCAGTTTACCCCAGTTATTAGTCTTATAACAACAACTGGAAGTCAACAAGAGCTTCATATGGCCTGGTTGCTGTATAGTAGCTGCGATTACGGACCAGTCAAACATGCAGAGGCCACTTCCATCAGAGAAGTATCCGATCGGGGGGTTTCCCTTGCGTTTGGGTTCGATATTCACATCTGAGGGGAAGTCGGCCAACGATGCATGCATTCGAAGGTATGAGCCGGGATTAAGTCGACCAAATGGGCTGCGCCATTGCAAGTCCATGTGAATCCCGGTGATGGTGTATTCGGCTCGAACATGGGTTGGCAATGTGTCTGATAATGACATAAGCTTCTGGTTGTTTGAAAGCTTCTCTTGTGGCCTAGGATTGTCCACGTTGTAGCGTCGGCATGGTAAAACCTCGAAAGGCCGTAGCTGAGAAACCCAACTCCACGACGGGCCGACGTAAGGCTTTTGATCCCTCTTCTGTCGGAGTACTGTCTCGAGGGTACCAACGTCCGGGTTAAGCATTTCCCAGACAAGCCCGTGTTGCAGGTCATTCATCCATAGGCCAGCAAGGTAGGTATCTTCCGTAATCTTGGCACACTCCTCAGCCAATCCTGCTATGCCGGCCAAGAGATCATCTCTGTAGCTCCACGACCTTGTCTGAATCTCCAGTATCTCTTCCCATCGGGCGTAGGCGTTGCGCACCCTACGCCATACTTCAATAGGATCAGTTGGCTTCGGCTCTCGTGCTATGTTGACGAGTGGTCTCAAGGATCCGTGAACGACTGATCCGAGATTCACATATGAATTCTCAGATGTTGAGCCGTTCTCGCAGGCAAAGTGCCACAACCCAGGCCCGATAAAGAGCAGCCTCGTCGACAACATGTTCTCCTGGAACGTCCAGCCCCTGGTTTCCCATACTGCCTGCTTCAAGTCATTGATCAGTGACGAAGAGTTCCAAATCGGCTTCCGATCATCCGAAGAAGGGAAGAACGTGTAGGTCCCGCGAACGCTCTCGCGCCGTTTCGATTGAAAAGGCAAGTCGAGACCTGGTGCCCTTTCACCAAGGTAACCCTGCAAACAGGACGCAGACGCCAACGGGCAAATAGTCAGAGTCGAGCAATAGTACACACGACCCATGGTTAAGCTTTCCGAATTCCAGTCTTCTATATCTCCTTGAATAATGCACAGGGCATCCACCCAAAGATATCGTAGACCGAGAGCTCTACAGGTGATGGCGGTGTCTCTCACAACCGGACTCATGAAGTCGAGTGGTATACCCTCAAGGTGTTCTGATAAGTTCTTTCTGGTGGTCTTCAACTGCTCAGCTGCATCCTCTCTAGATCCCCAGCAGTAACTGAGTGTCGCATATTCAACTCCGCGAAGGTTTCCCTCATTTTCTTCGTGCAGGATATCCGAAGTTACAAGGCGCGGGACGTCTAGATCGGTGCTGCCAATGTCTATGAGCCTTGTTGGAATGAAGGCTGTGTCTTCCTTGACATGATCACAATCGTTCTGACACCTTTTGAGCTCGTACTTTATCCAGTCTACATTGGCGGGATCAAGCAACCGGGGACGTCGCTTGTCGTCGACTCGCAACCAATCTGTGACATTGTCTAGCGCGGATGGGAATATAAGCTCAGGCAACTGCAAACTACTCGAACTATGTCAGAGATATCGAAACTCACCGTCGTCGGATTCGATGTTGAAGGTTATAGCCGCAAGAAACTCCTGCTCAGGGTGTTTGTACACTTCACATCGCCAAAATACAAGACCTTCTTCGTTCGGTTTCGAGCCGAATACATCTCTGTCAGCGCCCCAAATGTATCCGCCATTAATGTAGACATCTCCCCTATAGTCTATCCCACGTTTGATGATGTGTTCTCGGATGAATGTGCACAGGTGGCAGCCGTTGGTTGAAGACTCCGCCAGCACTGGCAATGAAGGTAGCGAGTCCCTCCATTGGCAAGGCGATCCCAACATGATAAGTTCACCTTCGCCTTCAGCTTTGTGTCTCAACGTTACAGCAGAGTCCGAAGAAGCAGACTCTTCCTCAATGAAGTCATCGATGCTATCATCCATCAGCACGGGGTGACATCTTTCGCACAGCGCTGGACTTTCGAGCGCTCCAAAAGTGACAGGCGACGAAGGCGACATTGATTCTTGAGTTGTGAGAGTATCGTCGCTGGTAGAAAGCTTTTTGAGGTACGTATGAGAGTCAGAGATAGTGTTTATCACTGTAGTAAGGACCATGTGGAAGTCATGACGAGGTCGTCGTCTTCGTCGTTGCCTAATGCTTGAATGAGTGATTTGTTACAAAGCGGGGAAGAATCCCTGCTCCAGCCCTGACTACGGGATTTCTTCATTGTTCGATGCATGATCAGCACAGGGTATCTAGACTGAGACTATTTCAGCACGCTCATATGCCTGTTCTATCAACTGCTAAATAGGGTCAATACATCCTTCTCCAGCCTTTCTTTAGTCCTGCTCTATTGGGATTCATTCGCATTTGGCCAGATAGAATGGAAGTAAGGTTAACTCATAGGTAATTTATTATTGCCCGTCGAAAAAGTATGCAATTCATTGACGCTGTATGGAAGTCGATGGGAGGAAGTCGATGGGATATAGGTTCATTGAAGCCAGTCATACTTTCCTGTACCGAGACGGAATTTTACCACACTTAGATCAAAGCAATCGCATGTTAAAGCAAGTATGCGTTACTAATGTTGCTGCAAGACCTAATCAGAAATGTTGCAAGCTTTCTCTATCACTTGCTTGATAGACTTGCCATTGAAACCAGCCTCTGAAGTTGTGCTGGCTTTCTGCAGAAGATGCTTTTCAGTCGGAATAAACGCCCAGGAGAGATGCGCGACGTAAGACCCATTTCGCACTTCCTGTCATCACTCTCCTCCCTACTCTGGCTTCTGGCCGTAGACCACGTTACTTCGAAGTAGTTAGCATCGAGCTCGTCTTCTCCCAGGTCTCATCAGCCATCAAACTTACTAGTACAGCCAGGCATGAATCTTGGGATCTTTCAAATCCTTCCGAACACCAGCCAGCAAGACAAGGACCTCCTCCTTCGTCCATCCAAGAGCTCCGCAAAGAAGGCGCAGAGAGAAGCCTTCAAGGCCGTCCAGTAGCTGAATTAACTCCAGCATTCCAATGTCTTTGAGATGGGGGTCCTTGGCCCATGGGCCAGCAGGGATCTTGAATGGTTGGTGGTGAATGTTGACAAAACCAGTATTCTCACGCACGATACCTTCCAGCTTAGGTCCGATTTGCCCATCTCGGCCAAAGATTTTGCAGGCGTCCATGAAGAGGTCGACCCACCGCAGGAGCTCGGTGCCCTCGATTGTACCATCGTCAGAATAGATCATGAAACTCCAGTCTTGGAACTCAGCCCAACCGCCAGGGTTCAAGTTGCTGCCGAATACTTAGAATAGCTCTAGCTTTAAAAAGCTAGGGGTATAGAGGTGGCTTACTCATAGACGCGCTTCACGTACTTTGGCCAGTCCGCGATGGACCCGCACATGTAACGGCTGAAAATGAAGTCAAACTTATTTCCAAGCCACTCGCTTTCGACGTCATCAATCTCGAATCTGACATTCGGCGGTACCCTTTACTTGGAGTTAGTACGTTGAGAGCCTCATTCCCCGATGAGATTTACCAAGCTGGCTGAATGGCGCTGAGATCGTTCCCGAGGATCTACTTTTGTGTCAGCGGGTGCTTATTATGGGCATGGATGCCTGGCTAGTATCAAATGACATATATACCTCCGCATTGGGATACTTGTCACCCATTTCAATGGCCCCTGAAGTTGTCAGTCTTCTTTATAGCGACTAGGAATTTTGATGTTGTGTTACAAATGCCTGTTCCTGTGCCGACATCAAGGACCCGATGCATTTTTGTCTCGTCTACCGGGGCCAAGAACAGTTTGTTTCCGACTGTCTTCGTCAATAGCGCATGGCAAAAGTCCAGTCGGTCCATCTCGCTCTGATTATCACAGCAATTAGTTTCATCTGCCAGGAGCCATCACATCGCTTTTATGGTTTACTTCATCGTTGGGCAGGATATAAGCTTGAGAGAACAGTCAGTCGGGTTCAAGAAATACTGTGTTGGTAGTAGCATACATCCGGATCGAAACGAATGGTAACGACGGCCATGCTCGGTGGGGTAGTCAAGGACGGACGAGGATAAGGATGCGGTGTACGAGGAGCTACAGAATTAGGTCGATTCTACTATGGAGGAATGGGCCCATCTTGGGGCAAGACGTCGCACACATTCTATCGTCAATGGTAGACGCGTTGTCCTGGCGGGTTTAGATGTCAGTGTATGCGCAGTGAGCAAAGACTTCGACCGTCACGCACCGATTCGGCATCATCGATTGCGATATCAGCCTCCAGGTCAGTAGCTCCAGCGGGGGACAACCCAGCTGCGTCCGACGGAGTCTTGGTCTTCGGGGGAGATCTGGCCGACTGCGGAGATTGTGCCGCAGGCGATTCTGCCGGCGGCGTAGGTTTCGAGGTTGAGTCGGCCATGACGCAGGATTACAGTTGCGCTTCCAATGACAACTAACTACGTAGTACGAGATCAGGTACAAAAATGGCGGAAACGCGAGAACAGATCAGATTCCAACCGCTCCGTGAGTCGCGCCCGGGCCCGCGGGGTGTTTTGTAGAACCCTGCCACGCCTGAGGACCAGGTTACCACCCCCGCAGCTCGGCAAGTTATGAAATGTTGGTGCTTTAGTTCTACGCCTCTGTGCAGTGCGTGCTGGCTCTTCTCTCGCCCGGCTCCGTCTTAGTGTGCGGCACAGCTGCATAGTGTGCATAAAAACCCAAGTCTCCTTCCCGATTAGTCTTCCTACCGCGGTTGGTGGAGGGTATCGAGCACGCGCACGGCACACCGAGACCTCGTGCCGCTCAGCTCCTCCCGAACGTCTGGTTTCGGTACAGTCCCTCGGACCGTTTGGTTCTTGACATAGGTTCTTGCATTACCTAATTGTCCTCAAGCCGGTCAGCCGTATCACAATGAGGTCTTCTTCCTGGTCAAGCGGCGCAACTCTCGTTTAAGTGTATTGATCAATTGCTGCTTCCTGAGATGGCATTGAGGCGTGGAACCTATTGTCAAATGTGAATTCTTCCAGAGACAATACTCAACTCCGGAATCGATTGGAAGTCCATGGTACGATTTGGTAAACCAAGTTGCGCCAAAATAAAGCTCCAGAGACGCATGCTCAAGGGTACCCTGCAGGTCGCTTCGGACCGGAGAACCCGAAGCTCCGGAATCGATTCCGGTGGGTAGTTAAACGAGGAATCTTTGGCTAACAAAGACGGCACTGTGGCTCCGCTAGATCTCCCACCGGGTTATTCTTTTGTGCAAGTAAGACAGAATGACCGGCAGCCGCTAATACTTTTGTACAATAAGTCGACCCACACCCTTTTAGCCACCCCCCCCCTTTTAGCCACCCTATTAAACATAGTATTAAAATATTACTACTAACTATACTTAATTAATTAACTATCTTTTACTATTATAATAATATAATTATTATTCTCCTTAAGTAATTTAACTTTTATAAATTAATTAAAACTAATTAAATAGTTATTAAAGTCTTTTTAAGCTCTTTATATATCCTAAATATTTACGAACTTAGTATTTAAGTTTATTAATATACTTTTTTTTTATAACTTTAATTAGTTAACTTTAGTTTTTAGAACTTAAAAATAGTACTAAGATATTACTAAATAATAAGCCTATTTACTAAATACTTTTTTTATTTTTTTAAATAATAATTATTAAATATTATAATTTAAATTAAGTTTTATAAATAATTTTATCTAATTATAAAACTTACTAACTTTTTTAAAAATTAATTAGTTAATAATAAAGATTATTAATACTTAGTTAATAACTTTTTTAATATTATTAATTACTTACTTAGTATTTATAGTCTTTTTAATTAGTATAACTAAGTTAAATAAGACTATTAAATTAGTAAGTAATTTAGTTATATAGTGGTTTTTTTTCTGGCTTTATAAGTATAAAAGATCGACCTTAATAGGATTACGCTTTTAAAAAAAATTATATAATATAATATATTTTTTAACTATATAATACGCGTAATATATCCTAAGTATGCGCTTAATATAATATAGTAGTTTTAATATAAAAACCGCTATTTAATTTAGGATAAATAAGCTACTCTTTTTAGTAATAGCGCTAATTAAAAAAGTTAATAGTAGAGGTTAGTTATAATAGTTAACTATAATAATTAGCTATAATAGTCGGCTATAATAGTTAAAAATAGCCTTTTTTAACTATAGAGGTTCTAAACTTTAATAGTAACGTAGAGGTTTTTAAAAAAAGGGCTAAATAGGCTAATATTTACTACTCTTTAGAGCTCGTAAAGATTCTTTTTATCCTTATTACTTTTAATATTACTTAAAACTACTCTCTATTTAAACTAAATAAATTTACTAAATAAATTTACTAAATAAATTTATTAAATAAATTTATTAAATAAATTTATTAAATAAACTTATTAATATATAAACTACTACTTAAATAGCTAATTAAATAATTAGTTAAGAGGTTAGCTAGTTAAAATACTACTTTAATAAGAACTTATTCTAAAAATACTCATTAATAAGTCTACCCCTCTCGGGCTAGGTACTCTCTTTAATTAGCTCGACGTTATAGCTATTATAACTAATATAAGTATATTTAAAAAGTAGTAAAGTACTTTTTAATAGTATAAAATTCGGCTAAGTAATATTATAAATATTATAAATAGCCGGGTTAATATGAATATTAAGATTTAGTATATTAATACTAACCTAGTTATAATAACTATAATAAATAGGCTAAAAGTATATAAAGTTAAAATAATAAGTTAGTATTTTAAATAGCTTTTATAGGACCCCCTAGGTAATAATAATATTTATATAAAAAAATAGATTATATTAGACTTAGCTACTTATATAAGCTAGTACTAAGAGGTCTTATACGTATTAAAATAAGTAAAGCTCGCCCTATAGGCGGGTAGTAAAAGGTTAGGAGCTATTTTAATTAGTAATTAGGTATAGAGCGTATTATACTTAGTTTTCTTTAATACGTAATATATAGTACGGCCCTGGTAGATTACTTTATTAGGGGGAACTTTCCCTTATATATAATTAGTAGTTTAATAATTTAATTATTAATAAAAATATATTTAATTATAAATACTTAAATACTAAAATAGAGTAGGGCGATTAGTCCTAATAGTTCTTTTTTAAAAACTAATTAAGTATAAGTATTTATAACCCCCCCGATAGAGTAATCTGCCGGGGCCGTACTATATATTACGTATTAAAAAAAACTAGGTATATTACGCTCTATACCTAACTATTAATTAAAATAGTAATTAACTAACTTAATTATTATTTTTTTTTTATTAACTCCTAACCTTCCCTTACCCGTTTAGAAAGCGAGCTATACTTATTTTAATATATATAAGACCTCTTAGTACTAGCTTATATAAGTAGCTAGATCCTATATTATATACTCTTTCTTATTAAGGGTTAAGGGGCCCCTTATATATTCTTTTATATTTATAATATAGCCTATATTAAAGGGATTTCTAGCTCTATAAAGTATAATTTTTAAGCTAACGTTAATATACTAAATCTTAACGTCCGTATTAACTAGGCTATTTATAGCGTTCGTACTATTACTTAGCTAAATTCCGTATTATTAAAAAGTACTTTACTAATTTTTAAGCATATTTACGTTAGTTATAATAGTTATAATATTAAGCTAGTTAAAGAGGGTGCCTAGCCCGAGAGGGGTAGACTTATTAATAAGTATTTTTAGTTTTAGCTTATTAATTACTAATTATATATTAAGAGTAGAGTAGGTTCTCGTTAAAGTAGTATTTTAACTAGCTAACTTCTTAACTAGTTATTTAACTAGCTATCTAAGTAGTAGTTTATATATTAATAAGTTTATTTAGTAAATTTATTTAGTAAATTTGTTTAGTTTAAATAGAGAGTAGCTTTAGGTAATATTAAAAGCGATAAGGATAAAAAGAATCTTTACGAGCTCTAATATAAAAAGTAATAAATATTAGCCTATTTAGCCCTTTTTTTAAAAACCTCTACGTTACTATTAAAGTTTAGAACTTCTATAGTTAAGGGCCGCTTCTAACTATTACGGCTAACTATTATAATTAATTATTACGGCCGACCTTTATTATTAACCTTTTTAACTAGCGCTATTACGTAAAGGGTAGCTTACCTATCCCGAATTATATAATAGTTTTCGTATTAAAATTACTATATTATATTAAGCGCGTACTTAGAGTATATTATATATATTATATAGTTAAAAAGTATACTATATTGTATAATTTCTTTTAAAAACGTAATCCCGTTAAGGTCGATTTTTTATACTTATAAAGCTAAAAAGAAATTACTATATAAGTATTTATAAAAGGGCTAATTAGAATAAAATATAAAAAAAAAGGCCTTAATTAAAAATAGTAAGTTTAATAGCGCGGATTTTTATTTTAATTATATATATACTTTTTAAGATCGAACTAGAGCCTTTTTAATAATTTATTTTTAAATATAATAATATAAAATAATTAAAAAGTTTACCTTTTTAATCTAGCTAATACTATTCTTTTCTTTTTAATTATAACTTTATTAATTAAGGCTATATTAACTTAATTAAAAAAAGTATTTTATATTACTTTTATAAGTATTAATAGTTTTTTTAAAATATTATATTATAAGAGTTTTTTATATAGTAGTTTTTTTTTAGCTTTATAGGCGTAAAAGATCGACCTTAATAAGATTACGTTTTTAAGGGAAATTATACGATACGGTATACTTTTTAATTATATAATACGCGTAATATGCCTTAAGTACGTACTTAACGTAATATAGTGATTTTAATACGAAAATTACTATATAATTTGGGATAGGTAAGCTGCCCTCTTTATTACGTAGCGGCGCCGGCTAGAAAGGTTAATAGTAGAGGTTAGCTATAATAGTTAGCTATAATAATTAGTTATAATAGTTAGAGGTAGCTTTTAACCGTAGAGGTTCTAAACTTTAATAATAACGTAAAGGTTTTTAGAAAAAGGGCTAAATAGGCTAATATTTACTACTTAGAGCTTATAAAGATTCTTTTTATTTTTATCGCTTCTAATACTACCCAAAGCTCTATTTAAACTAAATAAATTTACTAAATAAATTTACTAAATAAACCTATTAATATATAAACTATTACTTAGATAGCTAGTTAAATAACTAGTTAAGAAGTTAATTAGTTAAAATATTATTTTAATAAGAACTTATTCTAAAAATACCTATTAATAAGTTTACCTCTTTTAAGCTAGGCGCCCTCTTTAGCTAACTCGACGCTATAGCTATTATAATTAATATAAATATACTTAAAAATTAATAAAGTACTTTTTAGTAGTACGGAATTTAGCTAGGTAATAGTACGAATACCGTAAATAGTTAGGTTAATACGGATATTAAAATTTA